AAAAAAAAAAAAAAAAAAAAAAAAAAAAAAAAAAAAAAAAAAAAAGTGATTCTCCCACTCTCTTTAAATTACAAAAGAAGTGTCAACTGTTTAGTGACTCTTCCTCTTGCTCTCTTGGATCCTCAGTGCTGGTTTGTTCCATCTCAAAAGGGTAAGCAAATGGATTAACCCTTGAAATTTCCTTTTAAGCCCCATCAGTTAATAGACACATACTATAAAACTAAAAACTGGTTGCTTCCCTTCAATGTGACATCAGACATTATCATTGACCTTCAACATACAGTACCCTCCTACAAGCTGGTCAACATAACAGACAGCCCTAACCAGCTAATTAAAGGAACTGGCGCTGTTAGCAGGAGGTAACTGGCACTGAAGGAGAAAGCTGGGGCTTGTGCATCAAAGCAGACGGCATCATCAAAAGAGAAGTCACCAGGACTGTCCCTCTCTAGCATTACTTACTCCTTTGGGCCTTGCAGCCTGCCTTCTTCTTTAAATGTTGCTCCTCAAAGGTTGATGTGGCAAAGGTGAGAAAACCCAACCCTGACCCAGCTGAGCTGCTGAGAATTATGAGCGATGGGGGAGCTGATGCAGGATGTGTGTGTTTTTAAATGAACAAATTTAATTTGGGGTATTATACTTTTTAAAAATCCCAAATGAACAAAACTAATATTAACTAGACACGGGGGGCCAAAGTAGTAAAATGTATTGCCTCTTAGAGGAAAATAGTCCCCTTGGTTGCTGCTTGTTTCCCAAGGCTTTGGCCAACATATAGCAATCATCTGAAGTGATATTTCCCTTCAGAGTAATATTTTACAATTACTGCCCTTGCAGCTTGTCAACAGTTGCATTTCGTTGTATAGCAATCCAGAGTGTTACCAACAGAAATACCTGGAGCTCCAACAGAACCTATCAGCCCAGGATCTCCAAGTGCTTTACAAATTCTCACAACACCTTTGTGAGTTCAATTTTACACATGGGTAAACTGAGACACAAGAGCACTTAAGTGACTAGCCAAAAACTCAGTTCTACCATGGCGCCACAATAGAAAATGAGGAATTATGACTTCCACTCACCTTCTCTAATGAAGAGGATCCCTCTTCCTCCCACATCTACGCATCAAATGCCCATGCAGTTCTCAGTGAAAACATTGCAATATGTGGGATGCATGCTATGACCACTACTGTTTTCCTGTGTGTGTTTTACAATTTTACTCTTTTGTATTTTTCTTCTCTCCTTTTGTTTCCCCTTCTCACCTCTGCATTTTTCTTTCTTTCTCCTAATCTGACTCACTCTTTTCTGCTTCATTTATTAAACTCTTAGCAGCAGCAGAGAGAGGCACTGCATTCAAGCACGGAAAGGCCTTAAATAGCACCACTACATGAAAGGGACTTGTCTACACTGGCACTTTACAGCGCTGCAACTTTCCCGCTCAGAGGTGTGAAAAAACACTCCCCTGAGCACAGCTAGTTTCAGCGCTGTAAAGCAGCAGTGTAGACAGTGCACCAGCGCTGGGAGCCGCACTCCCAGCACTGGTAGCTATTCCCCTCGTGGAGGTGTTTTTTTTATAGCTCTCTCCCAGCGCTGGTGCCGCAACTACACAGCTACGTTAAAGCGCTGCCGCGGCAGCGCTTTAACATTGCTAGTGAAGACATCCCCTTGGATTGCATACTCAAAACTACTTTTATATTGCAGCCTTATATGAGAACAAAGCATCTATGCATTTGAATGCAGTAATTCTCCTTACTCTGTTTTCATCACCACCAATGTGGATGTGGTGGTAATAAAGCAAGGAAAAAACTTTTTCAGACCTCTGCTCTACTGATCATGGAAGTTGTGAGCATGGCAGGGAACCTATATGCAGCAGGCTGGTTAGTATGCATAGTAGGACCGTAAGTACATAAGCATAACTCTGTATTATAACAATAGGTAACAAGGGTACTTAGATTATTCTGCTACACATGATAAACATTCATTTAATTTCTGAAACGGCTGTGTGCTAACATTATGTTGTGCCAATGTAACCCAGCAGCCCTTCTTTCAAGTAAATACAAAACCCATACATATTACTACTTCAATGGAAGCTCTATATAAGAAGAAATCCAAAGAAAAGCATTTAATCATCAGCACATTTTAGAGACATTGACAAATTAATCAAAGCAAGCTTTAACCAACACCAAACTATTTTAACATGACTGTGATGACACAAACAAAATCCAAAAATGTCAAAGTTAAAGTGTGTGCTCAGTCTTTAAACTTGCTTGACTGTGAAATAAAATGAGGTAAAAATACTTGAGATTCAGACAGATTAGTTTTCCTGGCTTTACATTTACATAGCACTTCTCAAACATTATTAACTCTTCATAAAACTACTGGGTTGCAGGCAGCCCTAAGTATAATTTCCTCACCCTCACTGTGTGTCTAACTTGTTTTTATAGATCAATCTACAAATCTCTTTATCAAGCTTTGTTACAGTTGTTATTGTATTTTGATTGTAGTTCCTCATTTACCTTTATCTTGATAAATAAAACAGGAATGAATGGCCCAAAATTACCATTTCATTGATTATATTATTAAGGCAGCTGCAGGTCATAATTTCCCCTCTTTTTAAAATTGCCAGACTTGTCCAATTGCAGCTGTAAGTGCATAGCCTGTGAACTCTAGAGCCCAGTAAACACAGTGAGTTTTACACAGTTTTGGGTCATACTAACCTGCATCCGCATTGCTATTGTCAGAGGACCTACAGCCTCTATAGCAGACTGGTTACTGTACTTTACATCTTGACCATAACCATGTTCCCCTGTAAAAGAAAACATTGCACCAATGAGTCACGAGACCTTTGAGAGTAGAAATGAGCAGAAACATGTTGGAGAGACATCTTCATTAAAAAAAAAAAAAAAAAAAAAATTGCAGTCTGAATGTTTATTCCAAATTTAACAACCTCACTACCAAACTACCACTGTCTCCTTAATATTAAACAGACAGCAGCTGGAAGAGTGGTGTGGGAGTGCATATATATTAGATATCCAAAGGAAACCAGTTCCAGCTCACAAAAATGTGCCATTTATGCAAAAAGCTACAGAATGTGTTAGGATTTGGAAAATTACATATATTTGAAACAATCCACTGGACAAATAGGGAAAAGATTTTTTGTCTGCTTTTCCCTGTGCATATTACTTTGAGAGGCTAATGAAATTAAGAAATATATGCATATGATCATAAAAAAATACTACCATTAGCCAATCAGATTTATAATCTGGACTCAGAATAGACAAAAGTTTTCTGGCATTAATGAGTAGCAAGTTTCCTTCACCAATATTACTTTTAAAGCAGATTTTCTGCACAGTCAACCCAATGGTTACAGCTGGCTTCCTGTAGGACAATGCCTTTCAGTGGCCATGAATTAGATTAGATGTCAATGTATTATTTTGTCACTGTTTCCATTATCCTTGTTTGGTTGTTTGTTTTTTCAACCCACTTGTTGCTTCTTGCCTAATATCTAGCCAGTGATTTCTTCAGGGTAAGTTCAATCTAAACTTTAGCTAGCACAATGGGGCCCTGATCTTGAATGCAGACTCTAGGCATTACAATAATAACAGTGCATTTGCTTCATTAGCCTTATACCTCAGGGAACCAGAGCTCAAACCCTGACCCAGTCAGGTTGTCTCTTTCTAATCCCCATCTGTGCACATCATAAAAACAACCACACAATTTGGCACAATTCTCACTCTTAAAGAGTCTCAGAACTAGAACATCAGGGACATTGTGGGTCAGAATTAAAGGCATGCTGACATAAGTGTGTGGAGGAATTTGCACACCAACTGCCCACACAATGCTTGACTCTAGCAAGTGCTATTATTCACCATGTCCTGCCTATTTAGTCTCTCAGTGACTTCAGTGTTCTAAAAGACCTTGTTTACATACATATTTAGCCTAATTCAATGAATCTTCTAACACTTTCTCAAATGCTACCGCATCAAGCACCTTTACCTTAAGTGACAAAGCTAACTAAATAATAGAGATTATATTCCTAACACTAAACACACAGTAAAAACCATTAAAAGACCTTCCGTTTGTGTTAACACTTCTTGTTTTAAACCAGATCTTATGGTGTTTTACAATTTTAGACTAGAATCCTGTGCAATTTACTGGAAGTTATAACAGTCTGTCAGTCATAAATTGACTACGGTTGCATTGAGACCATTCTGGGATTTTTGCCAGAACAACAAATGAAGTAGGAGGGATGAAGTTAAATTCCCCTCTCTTTCAGACATCTGTGCTTTACAGAAACATTTCAAGTTTTTATTTGATTTGGCTTAATATGCCTTCTTTATCAATGCAGAGATTAGCATGTGTATAAATTAGACTTGGAGATTTCCCTTCAACAGCGTTCTCTCAGCCTGCATGTACTTAAAACACAAAGTCAGACTAATCTGGCTTTTGCATGGAACTAGAAGTTAGAGAGGTAGAATTCACACACACTAACTAAGGCCTTGGCTACACTGGCGCTGTACAGCACTGCAACTTGCTGCACTCAGGGGTGTGAAAACGCCCCCCCCCAGCACAGCGAGTGCAGCGCTGTAAAGCGCCAGTGTGATCAGAGCCTGCAGCGCTGCACGCTCGCTCGCAGCGCTGCAAGTTACTCCCCTCGGAGAGGTGGAGTACATACAGTGCTGCGAGAGCTCTCGCGCAGTGCTGGCAGCGCAACTACACTTGCGCTTCACAGCGCTGCCGCAGCAGCGCTGTGAATTCCCAAGTGTAGCCAAGGCCAAAGGGAGAAAAGTGTGGTGTTGCAACATCTCATTTATGGCAGATATTCCAACTGATGGGCTAGAATAGCTGCCCTTGTCTCTCCAGGCCTCCTATACAGGAGTTTTGGTCCATTAGTTCAGTATAAATGTACATCCTCTTCCATCCTGCCCCAAGGTCTCCTCCAGGCCTACCTATTTGTACACCAGGGTGCAGAGGTGTTGGAGCTGCTGCCTCATTCAGACCCTGCCTGTGTCCCCAGGCAGTCTCACTGCAGGGTTTAAGTGGTGCTGAGGGACTTGCTAGTTCCTTTCCAACTGGGTGAGTTTCACAACTACATACATATGTATTTAGGCTGGGATTTTCAAAGATTAGCAAGATCCCATAGAAGAGGCTATTATTATTATTGAAGTAATACCATAGGAATTAGTACAGATAAGCAGGATGCCATATTAATGGAAATTGCTTTTTAAAAACATTTTAAATGAAGAGCATGCCAAACCTCAGATTATATAAAATAAAAGCTGCATCCAAGAAAATTCCATCACCTAAAGTGAATGCTTCAGATCCATCTAGTTTATGTCATCAGAACCACACAAGAAAATTATGTCCTCATAATTTCTTGGTATTTATCTTTTATTTTGAGAAATAAAATATTCATGTGTGTGAGGGTGGGTACTGTATTTACATACATGAGATAAAAATGTAGCCACCACCATGCAGAAATAATAGTCAATTCATGGCTGTTGCTTCAGGCTGCATTTCACTGCTTCTCAAATGTTAAAAATAGGACATTTTTAAAGTGTGAAAAAAAACTAAAACAACTTTTTAAGCACACCTATTAATAAGATTCCAATATGCATTTAAAGTAAAAAATCAAATATAAGATTGTGACTTCACTGATGTCACAATCATCTAACAATAGGCTTTTAAATAACTTGCAATTCAGCTAAGTGAATTCTTCCTGTCCAACACAGACAAATGTTTTTTATGTATATGTTCTCTACACATTTCAACAAACATTGAATAAAAAAATAGGTAAAATGTGTTTCTGCTATTCTTCCAGCATTTCTCCTGTGAAACACACACAGGAAGACAGATGGATATTTGTAGATGGTTTATATAAAACACATTTTCTTTTTAAAATCCTGTGTTGTCTCTCAAAAAAATGTCATAGGTATGCACGTATCTAGGGCCCCAATATTGCAGCTGGATATATGCAGAGACACATATGTGCTCATGCAGTCTGACTGAAATCAATGCGCTCTACATATCTATCTTAGGTACTTATAAGGACTACATTGCCGTATCTGAGCACCTCACAATCTCTTAATGTATTTATCCTCACAATATTCCTGTGTTTCAGAGTAGCAGCCGTGTTAGTCTGTATCCGCAAAAAGAACAGGAGTACTTGTGGCACCTTAGAGACTAAGGAAAGAACTATTATCCTATTAGGTACCATTGTGGAATTGAAGCACAAGACTAAGGGTAGGGTTGCCAGGCGTCGGGTTTTTGACTGGAATGTGCAGTCGAAAAGGGACACTGGCGGCTCCAGTCAGCACCGCTGACTGGGCCGCTAGAAGTCCGGTGGGCGGTGCAGCAAGGCTAAGACAGGCTCTCTGCCTGCCCTGGCTCCACGCAGCTCCCAGAAGCGGCCGGCATGTCCAGGCGCAGGGGCGGTCACAGGGGCTCCGCACACTTCCCCCAACCCGAGTGCTGGCTCTGCAGCTCCCATTGGCCGGGGTTCCCACGACCAATGGGAGCTGCAGGGGTGGCACCTGCAGGCACAGACAGGGCGCAGAGCCCCCTGACTCCTCCACCTATGAACCAGACATGCCAGACGCTTCTGGGAGCCACCTGAGGTAAGTGCTGCCCGGCCAGAGCCCGCACCTCACACGCCCTCCCACACCCCGACCCTCTGCCCCAGCCCTGAGCCCCCTCCTGGAGCCTGCACCCCACACCCCCTCCCGAACCTCAACCCCAACCCCCTGCCCCAGCCCTGATTCCCCTCCTGAACTCCAAACCCCTTGGCCACAGCCCAGAGCCTCCTCCTGCACCCCAACCCCCTGCCCGAGCCTGGTGAAAGTGAGGGTGAGGGGGTGGAATGAGCAGGCAGGCAGGGCCTCAGAGAAGGGGCAGGGAAGGGGTGTTCAGTTTTGTGTTATTAGAAAGTTGGGACCCCTAACTAAGGGCAAGTCTATACAGCAAGTTAGTGCATGGCAAGCTAGGGTGTAAATCTATAGTGCTCTGGCGTGCCGCACACTAACTGTCCATGTGGACCCTGCAGCTGCACACTAAAAGTTCCCTAGTACGCTTTGAACAGGATCTGTTTATTTAAAATTCTGGGTTTTTTTAATAGTATTGGGTTATTATATTTCCTGCAATATTTTAAAACAGGATTTGCTTTCTGAAAATAGCTTGGCAGCTTTGCTATGGCTTTCAATAGGACTTTGCATCTGGGTAGCTTTCACTTTCTGTTTAAAAACTGAATTAAATAAATATAGATTTCATGCCTATAATTTAGCTTTTTTAAATTAAAAAACAAACCAAAGAGTGACTTGGGACCTGGGGGCTGGTTTTGTACACATTGTGGTGGTGACCACCAATCGTTAGAATTATATGAAATAACACAGAAGGTATGTGGAAAAAACTAAAAAGCTAAGTAATTTGTTCTTGGGGAGAGTGTGAGATGACATATCTTATAATAGAAATTATTACATTGCTCTACTGTGAACTACAGAGATTACTTTAAAAAGCCAATTGCTTTGACATCAAAAAGTGAGATCCATTTATCCCAACATACAAGTTCTAAGTATTATTATGTGACAATTAGAAGTTTCTGGGGATGTTATTCAAATAGGTTCAACTACAATCCTGACTCAATGTCTAAAAATTCACGCACTTTTACTCCTATAGTAGCTAGCTGTTTCAGTAAAATTTCAAATATTTTTGTAGCATACCTTTGCACTAGAATTTTTTATTTTAATGTCTTGAAACTTAGGCTTGCTGGATCCAAGCTCCTATACTAAAAATAAGATGAGCTGCATGGCATAAACAAATTTATTTTCATCGTAATGCTTTGAACTCTGATCTTGGAAACATTTATGCATGTGAGTGATTTTACACATCTGAGTAGTCCCACTGAATTCAATAGAACTATTCACATTTGCCCTGTTATTCACATAAGTGTTTGCAGGATAGAGTCTTAGATAACTAATTACAAATTCTTCAATATGTATCAAACAAATAATCTCTATGGCTTTTTTTCATAAATCATTGAAGAAGAAGAATGGCCAACACTCGCTGGCATCTTTAAAAAAAATCACATCTATATCATAATCAAATTCTATCACTTCATGGATGATTACATGGTGAAGTTACTACTAAGAAATATGATCTTTTAGTAGAATTAACTAAGTAATTAGATAATTTAGTTTACAGTTGGCCTGATGCCTGTTACACCACTTTTACATCAATAGAGTTCAATGAGCCACTGATTTCAATGGAGTTACATTGTCAGTAGGTGTAACAGAGTGGCGATACAGGCCAAGTATCTACTCCCGTGTAAACTATCCTAAGTAAAAAAAATTACTTGGCACCTACTTTCTCCTTTGTAAATGAAAGTACAATGTGGGACAAATTTCCGTCTATTCTTGTAGACTTTTTTATGGAAGTGTGCTCTTCTGGCTGACACACAGCTGAGTTTTGAAGTCTCTTTCCACTGAGAAAGTTTTTTCTTCCTTATACTTCTGCACAAAACTAAACTGGATAAAGCATTAGAAAATAAGAAGGGAACAATCCTGCAGTGGAAGCAGATCTACAGGATGACCTAATTGTTTTTTACCCCTCTAATTTGTAGGAATATGTTCTACTCCTGAGGGCATTCTGAGCCAAAAAAATAAAAATTTTAGGCCAAAAAATAATTCTGCGCACAATATTGTAAAATTCTGCGAATTTTATTTGTCAAATAAATGTGTAGGCTCCAGCATGCCATTGGGGAGCACAGGGCACTGGCTGCACAGAGGTGGGAGATCACTGTGCAGCTCGCACCTGGGACACAGACTCAGCGATGAGGCTGCATCCAACCCTGACACAGCGCAAGGACCGGGCCTGCCCCAGAAACACCCCAGAGCCCTGCTCCTCCATGCCAGGTGCACGAGGTGTGAGCAGGCAGGCTCAGCAAAGCAGGATCCAAATGTGGAGGGGCTTAGTGTGGGGAGATCCAGGTGTGGGATGAGAGGGTTCTGTGTTGGGCAATCTGGGTGCAGGTGGCTCAGTGGGGATTCAGGTGTGGAGGGTTCTGGGCGCGGGGGGCTCTGGGTGCAACAGTAATAGAATTCTGCAGGGGGTGTCCAGATGAAGGTGGTTGGGGCTCAGCAGGGGGAAGGTTTGGTTTGGCAGGGATAAAGCTCGGCGGAGGGGTCTTGGTGTGGGGGTCTCAGTGGGGGATGGGGGACGTCCAGATGCTGGGGAAGTGGGGCTCAGTGGGGCAGGGATCCAGGTGCAGCTGGTTGGGGCTTGGTAGGGTGGGGATCCAGGTGCGGGTGGCTTGTCAGGGTGGTCCAGGTGCAGGGGGAGTGGGGCTCATCGGGGGTGGGTGAGGCTCAGCGGGAGGGTCTGGGTATGAGGGGGTCTGGATGCATGGGGGTTGGGAGGATGGGGGAGCAGCTCCCTGTATAGTGATCCCTCCCCCTGCAGCTGAAGAGCGATAGGTGCAGGAAGTACGGGGGAGTTTGCAGAGCTTCCTATAGCCGGGGGAGAAATCTGGGGGTGGGTCTGACACAGCCCCAAATGTCATGCTGGGAAGAGGAAGTCCCACTCTTCCCAGCCCAGCCAGGACTAGCCGCTGTGCCCGGCACAGGGTAGGAGCCACCAGCCGGGTCTTCCACAGTCTCACTCCCTGCCCCAGAGTGATTTACCTCTCTGCCAACTGCCCTGGGCACCCGAAACATACTGCTGGGAGGGTCTCATGACCGCTCTTGTGGTTTCCCTTTGCTTCTGCATCAGAAAGTCATTTTTCTGTGGGGAAGCAAAGAAATCTGCAGGGGACATAAATTCTGCACATGCATGCGCAGTGGCACAGAATTCCCCCAGGAATAATGTACATTCTAGAATACTGATAATTAAGCTAGTAAGCTCATCAACTGTTGCATGCATGACCTCAAACTCATAATTATCAGGTACAGGAAGGATGAACTGATATACATGCATACATACACACAATACATATAAATTTATTTTTAAATGCCCTATTCTAAACATTGCAGGTCTTTTCTACCACATCTTGTACTTATCCTTGTATCCCATACACTTCTTTCAAGTGGTATACAATTTTAAACTGATCTTACCTGATAAAAAGTCAGGATAACAATTGACAATGGTTGTTCCAGGCCTTATCCAACTGACTGGAATCTCTTTAGGTTTGGTACTGCCTACCACCACCACATCTGCCTGATGAAGCTAAAAACCAGACAAACAAAAATATTCTAAAATTAGGAATATATCATGCAGTGTAGACCTAACATTCAGACCCAATTCATACTTATCTTCTCACAGTATCCACAAGTGAATGCAAAAGATCCAGACTACAAGCCTGATTCTTACATTACTGAGGATCAGGAATAACTCAGTTGAAATCAATATGTACATTCTGGTGTAAAGTCAGGAAAATGAGATCACAATCAGGGCCTATATCATATGCAGATCATATCTTGAAAAACCCATTGTACTTGAAAATGCTGTGCAACAGGACATTTTTGAGGGACTTCTGTTTTGTGGAAGATGTGGGTTGAAAGAATGTGATAACATTTGATTAGAAATGAGGTCAAGAAACTAAACATTCAAAATTACTACAGTTTGTTGAACAACTATCTGAACATCTCAATCATGGGCAAAACTACACACTGCTCAAAGCTGGATCTGTGACAGTGGGAAAACAAAAAAACACACACTCAAGTCACATTAGTTGGAAGGCAACATGAGAGCTGATCAGCTGACCTACATTCATCAATGGCTTCAAAAAAATTCCTATTAAAATCTTTTTCCCCTTTAACTCATGTTTACCAAAAGAAGCCCCTGATTTTATCTGGCTCTATGGAGTCAAGGACAATACAGAGCATGACATTGCCCTTCTAGTAACAAATAAAGGCATAAGCCAGGGGTGGCCAACCTGAGCCTGAGAAGGAACCAGAATTTAGCAATGTACATTGCCAAAGAGCCACAGTAATACGTCAGCAGCCCCTCATGAGCTCCCCTCTGCCCCCGCTCCTAGCGCCTCCCACCCACCGGCAGCCCCGCTGATCAACGCCTATCCCCTCCCCTCCCGATCAGCTGTTTTGTGGCATGCAGGAGGATCTGGGGGGGAAGAGGGAGGAGCAAGGGCATGGCAAGGCTCAGGGGAGGGGGTGGGAAGGGTTGGAGTGGGGGCAGGGCGTATGGCAGAGCCAGGGGTTGAGCAGTGAGCACCCCCCGGCACATTGGAAAGTTGGCGCCTGTAGCTCCAGCCCCAGAGTCGGTGCCTATACAAGGAGCCACATATTAACTTCTGAAGAGCCACATCTGGCTCCGGAGCCCTGGCATAAGCTGTTGTTTCCTCCCTACTCCCTACCTCCAACAGAGCACTGTAACAGTTACAGGAATCTACACAAGATAAGGAATAATACATACCCTAAATTATAAGAAGAGACATAGACATATACAAAGGTACACAAAATGGAAAGACAGGCCTTGCATTGCATCAAGGCTGAATGCAGAAATAGTTTCTAGCCAGTAGAGATTTTGGAAATAATTAAAGATGTGTCAATAGATGCTAAGCGTCACAAACTCTGCAAGCCTCACTACAAACTGACTTAAGCCTGGCTAGTATCCCTGCCTCTTTTTGGCCAAATCAGGTGTGATGCAATCTTAGGCCTGGTCTACACTACGAGTTTAGGTAGACTTTAGCAGCGTTAAATCGAATTAAGCCTGGACACGTTCACACGACGAAGCCCTTTCTTTCGACTTAAAGGGCCCTTTAAACCGGTTTCTTTACTCCACCTCCGACGAGGGGATTAGCGATAAAATCGGCCTTAGGGGGTCGGAATTGGGGTAGTGTGGACGGAATTCGACGTTATTGGCCTCCGGGAGCTATCCCACAGTGCTTCATTGTGACCGCTCTGGACAGCACTCTCAACTCAGATGCACTGGCCAGGTAGACAGGAAAAGCCCCGCGAACGTTTAAATTTCATTTCCTGTTTGCTCAGCGTGGAGAGCACAGGTGACCACGCAGAGCTCATCAGCACAGGTAACCGTGATGGAGTCCCAGGATCGCAAAAGAGCTCCAGCATGGACAGAACGGGAGGTACGGGATCTGCTCGCCATATGGGGAGATGAATCAGTGCTGGCCGAACTCCGAAGCAGTAAACGAAATGGCAAAATATTAGAAAAGGTCTCCAAGGCCATGAAGGAAAGAGGCCATAACAGGGACGCACAGCAGTTCCGTGTGAAAATTAAGGAGCTAAGGCAAGCCTACCACAAAGCCAGAGAAGCAAACGGAAGGTCCGGGGCTGAGCCGCAAACATGCCGCTTCTACGCGGAGCTGCATCCCATTCTAGGGGGTGCAGCCACCACTACCCCAACCGTGTGCTATGACTCCCTCACTGGAGAAACACACAAGGAAGAGGGTTCGGAAGAGGAGGATGGAGGAAATGTAGATAGCTCACAGCCGCAAGGAAGCGGAGAAACCGGTTTCCCCAACAGCCAGGATATGTTTGTCACCCTGGACCTGGAACCAGTAACCCCCGAACTCACCGAAGACCCTGAGGGCACACAGGAGACCTCTGGTGAGTGTACCTTTGTAAATATTACACATGGTTTAAAAGCAAGCGTGTTTAATGATTAATTTGCCCTGGCAATCGCGGCCAGTACAGCTACTGGAAAAGTCTGTTAACGAGTATGGGGATGGAGCGGAAATCCTCCAGGGACATCTCCAGAAAGCTCTCCTTCATGTACTCTCAAAGCCTTTGCAAAAGATTTCTGGGGAGGGCTGCCTTATCCCGTCCGCCATGGTAGGACACTTTACCACGCCAGGCCAGTAGCACGTAGTCTGGAATCATTGCAGAACAAAGCATGGCAGCGTATGGTCCCGGTGTTTGCTGGCATGCAGACAACATCCATTCCTTATCTCTCTTTGTTATCCTCAGGAGAGTGATATCATTCACGGTCACCTCGTTGAAATGGGGTGATTTTATTAAGGGGACATTCAGAGGTGCCCGTTCCTGCTCTGCTGAACAGAAATATTCCCCGCTGTTAGCCACGCGGTGGGGGGAGGGGTGAAGTGATCATCCCAGAGAATTGGGTGTGGGGGAGGGGAATTAGTTGGGTTTGTGCTGCATGTTAACCCTGAAACCGCAGCCCCTCCTTTTACATTGCAAACCCATTTTAAATGGTCAACCCAACGGGTGCTTGGTATGGGAAATGAGGTTAAAAAAAGCCAAAAGACTGTGTCTTACCATGGCTGCCTGCAAGCTGAAATCTGTGGCCTGGCACTGCGTGAGTGATCTCTCACACCAAACCGGCAGGCCCTCAATATAAGAGGAAAAATGCGACCTTGTAACGAAAGCACATGTGCTGTGTAATGTGAACAGCAAAATTTAACGTGAAAGAGTGTAGCCGTTGTTCTTTAAAATGTGTCTTTTTTAACCACCTCTCCCTTCTCCTCCACCAGCTGCAAATCTTTCTCCTTCACAGAGGCTAGTGAAGATTAGGAAGAGGAAGTGAAGGACACATGATGAAATGTTTACAGAACTACAGACTGCCTCCCACGCTGACAGAGCACAGCAGAATGCGTGGAGGCAGTCAATGACTGATTATAGAAAAGCCCAATATGAACGAGAGGAGAGGTGGCGTGCTGAATCGCGGGATGAACAGAGCAAGTTGCGGGCTGAAGATGATAGGTGGCGTCAGCTTGCAGACAGAAGGCAAGAGTCGATGCTCCGGCTGCTGGAGCATCCAACTGATATGCTCCAGCGTATGGTTGAGCTGCAGGAAAGGCAGCAGGAGCAGAGACCGTCGCTACAGCCCCTGTGTAACCAACAGCCCTCCTCCCCAAGTTCCATAGCCTCCTCACCCAGACGCCCAAGAACACGGTGGGGGGGGCCTCCGGCCACCCAGTCACTCCACCCCAGATGATTGCCCTAGCATCAGAAGCCTGGCCTTCAATAAGAGTTAAAGTTTTAAACTGCAGTGTGTCCTTTTCCTTCACTCCTCCCCCACCCATCCCGGGCTACCTTTGCAATTATCCCCCTAGTTGTGTGATGAATTAATAAAGAATGCATGAACGTGAAGTAACAATGACTTTATTGCCTCTGCAAGTGGTGCTCGCAGGGGGGAGGGTAGGGGAGGGTGGGGTGGTTGGTTTACAGGGAAGTAGAGTTAACCGGGTGGGGGGGGAGGGGCGGAGGGTTCATCAAGGAGAAACAAACAGAAGTTTCACACCGTAGCCTGGCCAGTCACAAAACTCGTTTTCAAAGCTTCTCTGATGCGCACCGCGCCATGCTGTGCTCCTCTAACCGCCCTGGTGTCTGGCTGCGCATAATCAGCGGCCAGGCGATTTGCCTCAACCTCCCACCCCGCCATAAATGTCTCCCCCTTACTCTCACAGATATTGTGGAGCGCACAGCAAGCAGCAATAACAATGGGGATATTCTTTTCGCTAAGGTCTGAGCGAGTCAGTAAGCTGCGCCAGCGCGCTTTTAAACGCCCAAATGCACATTCCACCACCATTCGGCACTTGCTCAGCCTGTAGTTGAACAGGTCCTGACTCCTGTCCAGGCTGCCTGTGTACGGCTTCATGAGCCATGGCATTAAGGGGTAGGCTGGGTCCCCAAGGATCACGATAGGCATTTCAACATCCCCAACGGTTATTTTCTGGTCCGGGAAGAAAGTCCCTTCCTCCAGCTTTCGAAACAGAGCAGACTGCCTGAAGACGCGAGCATCATGTACCCTTCCCGGCCAGCCCACGTTGATGTTGGTGAAACGTCCCTTGTGATCCACCAGGGCTTGCAGCAGCATTGAAAAGTACCCCTTGCGGTTTATGTACTCGGTGGCTTGGTGCTCCGGTGACAAGATAGGGATATGGGTTCCGTCTATGGCCCCACCACAGTTTGGGAATCCCATTGCAGCAAAGCCATCCACTATGGTCTGCACGTTTCCCAGAGTCACTACCCTTGATATCACCAGGTCTCTCATTGCCCTGGCAACTTGGATCACAGCAGCCCCCACAGTAGATTTGCCCACTCCAAATTGATTCCCGACTAACCGGTAGCTGTCTGGCGTTGCAAGCTTCCACAGGGCTATCGCCACTCGCTTCTCAACTGTGAGGACTGCTCTCATCTTGGTATTCTGGCGCTTCAGGGCAGGGGAAAGCAAGTCACAAAGTTCCATGAAAGTGCCCTTACGCATGCGAAAGTTCCGCAGCCACT